GCTCCAATTATTAATTTTTATCCCATGCAGCTTGGGCAGTCGATCTATTTATTCGTCTAACTATAATTGAACTTTTTTTGAAATTATTAAAAATTCAAAAAATGTATATTAAATCGCTATCTGATTCAAAAAGTTTTGATTTAGCAAAGGTCCAAAGTGAAAAAACAAATTTACTTGATTCACAAGACTTTTAAAATCTTTTTACAAAGAATACAGATAAGCGTGGTAAAAATGTAATCAAAAAGTTATATACTAAAAAATCAATTGAGGTTGCTTGTAAGCCTGTTAATACTACTTCGACAAAAATTCAAGAAATATTGTCTGTTTGTAAAGAATTATCATAAAATTCTAAATATATAATCGAATATTATGGATTGGTAAATCTCAACAATCGCTTACATTTGATAACTGAGTGGGCAGAGTTAGGCGATCTTCAAGAAACATATGAGAATTATAACATCTATTGGAGATCAAAAATCGAAATTGCCCTAAATATTTGTAAGGGCCTTATATTTATTCATAAACACTTATTTCATCGAAATTTAAAATGCAAATCAATAATGGTAACAATTATATTATTATTTATTTGGGTAGTTTTAAGTTAAATTAAAATTTTTACTAATAATATATTATATTAATAAATAAGATTAATGAGTCTTTACATCCAAAAATAGCAAATTTTGAAATAGCAGTTATAAAAAATTCTAAAACTGATGAATTTGTCCCTTTAAATATTAACTGGTCAGCACCTGAATTATTAAATAATAATAAAGAGCAATATTCTTGCTATTGTGATATTTTTAGGTAATCTTTTAATATATTGCAACTTTTGTTACAATAATTTGATTATTTATTTATAATTTTTAATAAATAGTTTCGGGATGCTTCTTTGGGAACTTGCATTCGAAAAAGTTCCATATTAAAGTTGGGATAATCAAAAATTTATTGAACACGTTACAAATGGAAATAATGAAAATCTTAATTTCGATACAGATGATCGAGAGTTATTTAATATACAACAAAATTATATAAATATAATTAAAAAAGGTGAAATTTATTCTAAATGACATTATTATTTTTTATTTTATAACCAATTTTTTTATATTTAGTTTGGAAGCATGTTCCTGAACAAAGAACTTCTCTTGAGGAGTTAAAATCTGATTTAAATACTTTATATTATTCATTTATTATTCAAAAATCACCTTTAGGAAAATCATCATTCAAATCACTTGAATCAATTAAAAATCCTCAATGGAATGTAGTAATTAATAATAAATGTTTAAAAAATGCAATAGAATTTCAATATATTGATACTATACCTTATGATGAACTTTCAGAACAAAAACCAATTGGATCGGGAAGTGATGAAAATGTTATGAAAGCATATTGGAAAAAAACAAATTGATTTGTTGCTTGTAAACGCTTAATTAATTCAGAAAATATTCAAGAAAATAAGTATTGGAAAACTTGTGTACATGAAATAAATATCCAATCATGTGGAGATAAATGTGAAAATATAATTAGAGTTTTAGAAATTAGCGAAGGTAATAATTTATTTTAAGGTTTATAAAATTGATTATCTCAAGTATATAAATTAACATCATTTTAAATTTTAATATAGATAAGCAAAATAATAATTATTTAATTATAATGGAATATGCAGATGGTGGTGATTTGAGAAATTATCTTAAATTAAAAAAAGATAATTTAACAATTAAACAGAAGATTCAAATAGCATTTGATATTACTAAAGGATTAAATTATTTACATAATAACAATATTATCCATTGTGATCTAGTGAGTATTTTTAATTATCATTTCTTATTTAATTATTATATTAAATATTTCAATTATATTTTTTAGCATGCAAAAAATATAGTTATAAATAAAGGAAAGGCTAAAATTACAGATTTTGGTAATTCAAAATTTCTTGATGAAGAGACAAAATTACATAAAGATAATATAATAGGAATTTTATCTTATATGGTACCTGAATTATTGAATTTTAAAAATCCTGAAAATCCTCATAGTAAAGCAAGTGATATTTATAGCCTTGGTATATTATTTTGGGAAATTGCTAATTGTAAAATACCTTTTGAAAATAAACAGAATGA